TGTGAAGAAAGAGATTAAGATTGGGATTTACCATGAAATGTATTTTCAACACATTACTTTTGTACTGCACGCGTGGTTTAAACCGGACACTTTCACACCTCCTCCATCCTAATTTCCTTCTCCCCTCTCACCTAGTGCTGTTGATTAGCTGATAAGCTAGTTGAAATGTGCACCAGAAATGAAATTTGTTCCTTATTTTGGTGACTCCCTGTAAGGCGCTAAAATCTGCTTTAACTTCTCATCTCCCCAAAACAGTAACAGTTCCTCTATCCCTGTGGAGGGATTGGGAAGATTGACAATTTAGTGTTAATACAGTGTGTGAGACCACCTGCTAGATTTAGAGAAGGATAAAGAAATGCAGTATTCTTGGTAATATGTTTCCTTCCACTGAAGTTTGTTTATTTTCTTTATCTGCTTAACTAGCGCTGTAGCTCTGCTTGTGGGAGAGAAGTTGCAAGAAGAAGCAACACTTGTGGTAAGTGCTGGACGCTTTCATCACCGTGGTGCCAAGATGTAATGATGTGAAAACATCCGTGTGGTCCAGCTGATTGCTGTGCCTGGGGTAGGACTGATGTCACAGCTCAATACTTAAATGTTTTCTGTGGTTTTATCCAGATTTCAAAGACTAGCGTTAAACTGGGGGGAAGCTCCAGGGTTTCTCTTTATTTCTTCTTTTACAGGATGACCCATTTAAGATAAAATCTGGGGGAATGGTGGACATGAAGAAGCTGAAAGAAAGAGGCAAGGACAGGTGGGTGCATATGAGCTCTGAAGATCTCTACCCGGACTAGTATTAAATGACAGCTAGTAGTGAAGTAACCAGAAGTTGTGTTGCTTTGAAGAGTTTAACATAATGCAGTTTGGCCAGTTATTGTTACCCTAACTTGTCAAATTAGTTAAAAAAAAAAAAAACAACCCCCCCCCCACACACACAAAAAAAACCAAAAAAACCCCCCCAAAAAACTGTAAACATTGTGGTTTCCATTTAGGATTAATGAAGAGGAAGACCTAAACTTGGGAACTTCCTTCTCAGCTGAAACCAACAGGAGGGATGAAGATGCTGACATGTAAGTTGTGCTGCGTTGTGTCTGGGATGTTGAATTTGGGGTTGGGTGTCCCCTCATAATTTATTTTTTTCTGTCTTGGATACTGAGTAGTCCCAGAACATCTTCCCAGTTCTCAGTGAAACTTTCACTTGCCCTTTCACCTCCTGGCTGCCAGACTTGAGAAGGCTTTTTCACAGACAAAGATGAGAGGTGCCAACCAGCTGGCTTGGCATTAAATACCAGTGGGAGCCTTCCCTGCTGGCTGTGAAAGAGCTTGGAGGGTCTGACCATTTCTTGGACAATTGCTTCTTGCAATTGATGTTAGCTGAGTTGTTTTGGAGAGATTATTCATTCCTCTCTCCTAGCTATCAGGACAGTGATGCAGCTGTGCTCAGCAGTGCTGGGACAGAGTAGGGAAAACAGAATTATATGGTGTGTGTCCCTCGTGTGCTGCGGTTTAGGATGAAGTACATTGAGACTGAGCTGAAGAAGAGAAAGGGAATTGTGGAGAATGAGGAGCAGAAGGTGAAGCTTAAGAATGCCGAGGACTCTCTGTACGAGCTGCCAGAGAACATCCGTGTCTCCTCTGCCAAGAAGACTGAGGAGATGCTGTCCAACCAGATGCTGAGCGGCATTCCTGAAGTGGACCTGGGAATTGAGTATGTGATTCACAGATCTGTTGTTTATTGCCTGAATTGCCAGGATGAGCAACTGTTGTTTGGCAGATCAGCGGTATGGCTGGATTATACAGCCCCAGTTTGGCTCTGTGATGGGATTGAGCCTTGTTCTGGATTAGCGCGGTATCTAGCACAGCATGTTCCACACAGCGATGGGGCACCAGTGTGGCTCCATCATATGGCTTCCGGGAAGAGGCTCTTAATTTTTGTGACTTGAATCTAGCAACTTTCTGGAGGATCAGTTTATGCCTTGCACTGAAAGAGGATGCACTAAAGATGCAAGCTTCCCTTTTGCCTTTGAAACAAAGCCTCTGTTTCTATAGTACTCCCTCCTCTCTCAAAAAACACATCAAATACCATAGCAGTGCTAGCACTATCCCCCAAATCCATCCACTTAGCACTTTTATGCCTACTACGCTTTCTAAATATGAATGAGTATTTTTTTCATTGTTTTTCTTCTAGCGCAAAAATAAAAAACATCATCTCAACTGAAGAGGCCAAGGCCAAGCTGCTGGCAGAGCAGCAGAACAAAAAGAAAGACAGCGAAACTTCCTTTGTTCCCACCAACATGGCTGTTAACTATGTCCAGCACAACAGATGTAAGTCTCATGTAGCTCCCCTGACCCAGGTCTGACCCTCTCCTCTGCTGAAGAAAAGCAGTCAGTTGGGACAGAGTCTGATGCAGGAGAAACTAGTTCATGTATTGGCACAAGCAGCTGTCCGATTCCTTTTTCTGGGATGCTCCTATAGACCCCATCGGGCTTTCTTCCATTCGTCAGCAAGGAGGCAGACATATTACTCATGGCTTGACTTTCTGCTTTTGAACTCCCAGCTGACACTGCCTCATAAATTTCAAGCCTTTTTCTGTAAGTGGTGTCTTGAGGATGTGCTGGAAATGCCTGTCTCATCTGCAGTTCTAAATGATGGTTTATAATTGAGCGAATCCATTTTCTAGGCTGCCGAAGCAGACAGGTGGTCAAGCAAACACAGACCTTAGTAGACAGGAGATGGGAATTAATTTCCGGGAGGGCCTCTCATACTGCAGCCATCTGGAGGAAAGGCAGCCTTCTGCTGTGTCTGGCCATTCTTACAGGGGTGATTTGAAGTCAGATTTGTGTGTTCTGAAGGAAATGAAGAATCTTTGGGCCACCTCTGATGAAATAGTGCTGCTGAAATTTGCTGTCTCCCATCTTGCGTGTATTGATTATCCGCAGAAACTAATTACAAGAATGCTTGTTCTGAGGTTCTGTTGTTTCTGCTAAAGATCAGTTGGAACAAATGCCATAGAAAGATGTCCATCTGAATAACACTGCTCCCGATAATATTCCTTACCTGATGTTTTCCTTCTTTCAGTTTATCATGAGGAGCTAAATGCACCAGTGCGAAGGAACAAAGAAGAGCCAAAGCCTCGTCCACTGAGAGTGGGGGATACAGAGAGGCCAGAACCTGAGCGTAAGTTCCTAATCTGAAATGTCATAAGGAGAGACACTGAAACTCTTCAGGGGTCTTGCACAGAGAAATGATCTAGCTCTTCTTACCTCCTCTTCTCTGGGAGCCCTGAGACGGTGGGGAAACGGAGTAATCTAAGTCCATGACAGGCTATTGCACTTGAGGTACCACTACTAGGTCACACACGAAGCCCTCTGGATAGAGGTTGTCTTGAGAGATGTCCAAGGGTCGAGTAGCAAAGGTCACACCCGAAACGTGTTGCCAAAGCTGGCTGACAGGAGTTCGATGAAAGCTGGAATAGCAAGGTGTGCAAGGTTGGGGAGCAGTGACAGCTAAAGCACTAACCTTTCACGTAGCAGGGGGCTTCCCCCATATAAGGGAAGTGGTGGCGTTAAGGAAATATCTCCTGTAAAAGTCAGGGAAATAATATTTCCTTCTCTTTCTTTTGAAGGGTCTCCTCCAAATCGCAAACGTCCACTCAATGAAAAAGCAACAGATGATTATCACTATGAGAAATTCAAGAAGATGAATAGGCGATACTGATGAACATGGACTGAAGTCTTTGCAGTGGTTCTTACTTTCCACTAATAAAGGATTTTATGGCAATGACCTGAAATGGAGTTGGGGAGAGTCACTGCCATCACGTACCAGTGTTACCTACCAAGCTTTTCTTGTGATCTTGTACTGAATCAGTTTGCAGGTGATTGTGAACTCTTTGGCTGGTAAAATCTTGTATATAAGTTATTTTCAGTTATAAAAATTCTTTTATAAGAACATGAGCTTTCATGGTTGGCATTTTTTAGTGAGAAAACAAACTTGCTTTTACAGATTCTTTCACCCTCCTAAAAAAATCAGGGAAAAAAGAGATCCTTTAAGAGCAGCAGTGCTGTTTGCCTTGGAAATATAAAGGGAAGGGGTAAAGCTGGTTTGCTTCAACGGCGCTTTGTAAGAGACTTCTTGTTTGTTCCCAAGGGCCTTCGCTGTGCAGAGCGTGTAAGGCTGAGATGCTGCAGCAGCGTGTTCAGTGCTGCTGCTCCTCCGCCTGGCTTGCAAGTGCTCCGGGAGAAATCACAGTGTTGGCTGTGCCTGGCGCTGCCTCGCTGGGTCTGTCATCAGTGCAAGAAATGACAGCAGATAGTCAGCGCCAGGGATTTTATATCATGTGCTGTGTTGGTTTGTGTCTTTTTCCCTCCTGTAAACTTACTTCTGTAGCAGTTCACTGCATTTTATTTTAGCTGCGAAGAAGAAAAGCGGCTCAAGTTGTAACTGTTGAATGCAGGAAAATCTCATTTTCAGCTCTTGGGACAGGGTCAGTGTGGCAGCTGGTGACGAAGGCAGAGGCCCTGCAGCCTGTGTCAGCCACGTCTTCCCAGGAGGTGTGATGTGTGGGAACTTGAAGGCAAGATTTGGAACTTTTAAAATAATAAAAGTGTTTTTAAGTGATCGTAAATGGCATTTTTCTTTCTGGGATACACGCCGATGGTTTCCGGGTGCTGGTGATGGCCGGGGTGTCCCGTGGCTGTGCAGGTGTCCGTGTCCCATCACTCAGGAGTGGAAACTCCAGGGAGGGGTGGGATAGCCCCAGTTTGACTTTTTTTTCAGAAAAAGGGAAAGGTCTCTGGGCCGGGTAAACGCGCGAGTTTGTCTCCGAGCCCGTGCCCCCCTGCAGGTGTGGGGTGGCATCCGCTCCGACTACCTGCAAACACGGCACTGCGAATCGTAACGTTGGAGCGGGAGCGCGGTATTTACTGCGGTGTACCACGCGAGGCCGCCATTTAGCTAATTACAGCCGCGGGCGGCGGCCCCCCTCCCCGGGCGCCCGTCCAACATGGCGGCCGCCCTCACCGCCCGCCCCGCCTCTGCCCGTACCCAAGATGGCGGCGGCGGCGGAAGCGGCGTTGCGGGGCGGAAGCGGCGGCTGGAGCGGCGGGGC